TGTCTGGAAGTTTCTCATCCGAGCAGAGGTTCAAGCTGGGGATACCTCTACCCACATCCACAGCCTCTCAGTTGTTAGTGCAGAGTGTGATCTTGGCTCCTCACTGCCTTTATCCACTTGGAGCTGAGCCAGACAGACCATAATACTCAGACCCATCTTTAGTCCTCAGTCTGTGATCTGTTACATCTTAGGGGAGCGGCATTGATTATCTTTCAGTTGGTCTTGATGCCCTGGGTTAGGAAACATGATCCCACAAACCATAATAACATAGACAGCCATTAATTAATTTGGGTTGAGGGATGTATGTTATAATTTTCCAAATTCCCCTACATTTATTGAAGTTCTAGTCAAGAATAAAAAAGAATCATATATTAGATATAAACAAATGGGTTGAAGTGAATCTCTTGAACAGTATAAAGACTGTAGGGGTATTCTTGAGAGGAGATCAGGAAGGCAGACAGACGATATGAGATAGCCTTGGCAAATAAAGTTAAGGATAATCCAAAGATATTCTACAAGTACATTAAGAGCAAGAGAGCAACTAGAGAGAGAGAGTAGGGTCCCTTAAAGATCAACAAGGTCATCTTTGTGTTGAACCATAGAAGTTAGGAGAGATATTAAATGAATATTTCACATCAGTTTTTATTGTGGAGAAAGAAATGGAGGGTAGAGAACTCAGGGAAATATTGATATTTTGAAAACAGTTCACATTACAGAAGAGGAAGTGCTGGAGGTGTTGGAAATATAAAGATGGATAAATCTCCGGGACCTGATCTAGTGTATCCCAGGACTTTGTGGAAAGTTGGGGAGGAAATTGCAGAGGCCCCTTGCAGAAATATTTGTATCTATAAATATGGGCGAGGTGCCAGAGGACTGGAGAATGGTTAATGTTGTGCCTTTGTTTACGAAGGGATGTAAGGAGAAGTCTGGAACTGTAGACCTGTGAGTCTGACTTTGTTAGTGGGTAAGTTGTTGGAAGTGATTCTGAAAGACAGGATTTATATACATTTGGAGTGGCAAGGAATGATTAGAGATAGTCAGCGTGGTTTTGTATGAGGGAAATTGTGTCTCACAAACTTGATTGAGTTTTTTTGGGGAAGTAACCAAGAAAATTGATAAGGGCAGAGCAGTAGACATTGTTTACTTGGACTTTAGTAAAGCCTTTGACAAGGTTCTGCATGGTAGACTAATTAGTAAAGTTAGATCACATGGGATTCAAGGTGAACTTGCCAATTGGAGACAGATAGTGATGATAGATGGTTGTTTCTCAGGCTGGAGGACTATGACCAGCTGTGTTCCAAAGGGATTGGTGCTGGGTCCACTTTTGTTTGTCATTTATATAAACGATTTAGATGAGAATATAGGAAACATGGTTAGTAAGTTTGCATATGACACCAAAATTTGTGTATAGTGGGACAGCGAAGAAGGTTGTCTAAGATTATAACGAGATCTTGATCAATTGGGTCAATGGGCTGAAGAGTGGCAGAGTTTAATTTGGATAAATGTGAGATATTGCATTTTGGTAAAACAAACAAAGGCAGGGCTTATACATTTTAAAGTAGGGCCTTGCATAGTGTTCAAGAACAGAGAGACTTAGCAGTTCATTATTCTTTGAAGTTTGCATCATATATAGATATGGTGGTTAAGAAGGCATTTAGATTGCTTGCCTTCATTGCTCACACCATTGAGTAAAGGAGTTGGGATGTTTATGTTGAAGTTGCACAGGACTTTGATGAGGCTTCTTCTGGAATACCGTGTGCAGCTTTGGTTGATATGTTATAGGAAGGAGATTATTAAGCTGGAGAGGGTTCAGAAGAGATTTATCAGAATTTTGATGAGAATGGACGGTTTGAGTTATAAGGAGAGGCTGGATAGGCTGGGATTTTTTTTCACTGGAGTGTAGGAAGTTGAGAGGTGACCTTATAGAGGTTTATAAAATAATGAGGGGTATAGATGAGATGTCTTTTCCTTAGGTGGGAGATTTCAAGACCGAGGGCATATTTTTATGGTGAGAGGAAAAAGATTTAAAAAGAACATGGGAGGGACAATGTTTTTTTCACACAGAGAGTGGTTCGTGTGTGGAATGAACTTCCGGAGGAAGTGGTAGATGCAGGTGCAGTTACAACATCTAAACGACATTTAGATAAATACATGAACAAGAAATATTTGGAGGGATATGGGCCAAGCGTGGGCAAATGGAACTAGTTTAGTTCAGGATTATGGTTGGCATAGATTGGTTGGATTGAATGGTCTCTTTCCAGGCTGCATGAGTCTATTTGAGGAAGGTTCCATTAGAAGAAAAAAATTGTATGTGTAATTCCTTTATTCAAAAAGGGAAGAAGACAAGCATTCAGAAACCTCAAGCCAGTTAGCTTGATGTTTGTCATAGGGGAGATATTAAACGCTATTACTAAAGAATTTATAGAATGGGAGAGAGTGAATCCTGAGTGAGACACAGCCAAAGTCTTTTTGGGAATTTGGAGCAAAGTAGAAATGCAGTGAATAGGGGAAGAGGTGCTTTTTGATTTTTGTACATAGTAACGATGACTAGGGAATAAGGGCCCTAGAGTATTTGATATTAAGCATCTGCCAAAAGGTTTAATTTAAAGGAGTCAGTCATTGCAGGAGGGTTTAAGCCCGTAGTGTGTGCTCCTCCTGCTCTCTGTGGGAATCAGGTACATTTCCAGTGCCTGGGACCAGCGTGTGTGCAGGACATATCTCCAGCTACAGCACCTGGAAGCCCTGGGTTTCGGAGCTGGAGTAGTGGCTGGGCTCACTCTGGGGTATCCACGGGGAGGAGTGGATCGTGGGGAGTACATACTGAGAGGTGCTCACTCCACAGCTGGAGGGGAACAGGAGACCACCAGGCAGACTAAGGGGACTAGGAAGGCAGTGCAGGGAGTGGGGGGGGGGGTCTCTCCCCATGGCTATTCCCCTGTCAAACAAATATACCAAATAAAAATTGAAAGAACTACGGATACTGTAAATCAGAAACAAAAACAGAAGTTGCTGGAAAAGCTCAGCAGGTCTGGCAACATCTGTGAAGAGAAATCCTTTTAGGAAGTGTCACTGAACCTGAAACATTAATTCTGATTTCTCTCCACAGATGCTGCCAGACCTGCTGAGATTTCCCACAATTTCTGTTTTTGAAACAGGTATTCCAACTTTGGATACTGTTAAAGGGAATGACCTCTCAGGGGAAAACAGCAACAGCCAAATTCATGGCACCACTGTTTGTTCTGCTGTTGGGGAGTGAAGGAAAAAGTTAGAGTGCAAAAGGTTCAATTGCAAGGGGAATAGAAAGGTGTTTCTGTGGCTGCAAGCAAGACTCCAGGATGGTATGTTACCTCCTTGGTGATAGGGTCAAGGATGTGTCAGAGCAGCTATAGGACATCCCAGAGGGGGAGAGTGAACAGCTAGTGCTCATGGTACACATTAGTACAAGTGACATAGGTGAAAAAAAGGATAAGGTCCTAAAAGCAGAATAAAATCTGAGTTGGAAGGTAATTTGAAAAGTAGGAACTTGAAGGTAGAGATCTCAGGATTAGTATCTGTGCCACATGCTTGTCAGAGGAGAACTAGCAGGATTTATCAGATGAACATGTGGATAAAGAGATGGTATGGAGCAGGAGGATTTCCGATTCCTGGGGACATTGGAACCGGTTCTGGGGTAAAGTGGGACCAGTACAAATTGGATGGCGCAAACTGGAACTGATGTCCTGCGAGAATATTTATTACAGTGGTTGGGGAGGCTTTAAACCAAAAAGGCAGGGGGAAGGGGCCGATGCAAGGAGTCAGAGGAAGGGAATCAAGGTCTAGAACAAAAGTCAGAAAGGGGAATAAGCAAAGTAACAGGCTGAGAAATCAAGGGCCAGGATCAAGCAGGGACACTGAAAAAATAACAGGAATAGGACATTTTGTGCCTTAATGCACAGCTGAATTAATTGTGCAGTGGATGAAAATAGTGATAGTGTAGTCGGGATTGTGGAGACATGGTTGCAGGGTGATCAGGGATGGGAACTGAACATGCAGGGATATTCACTATATTGGAAGGACAGACAGAAAGGAAATGGTGGTGGAGTTGCATTGCTGGTTGAATAGGAAATTAACGCAATAGTGAGGAAGGATATTAACTTCAATGTGGAATCTGAATGGGTAGTGCTGAGAAATACCAAGCAGCAAAAAACATTAGTGGGAGTTGTATATGGACCCCAAACTGTTATGAATGGCATTAAACAAGAAATTAGAGATGCATGCAAAAGTAGAACATCTGTAATGATAGTTGACATTAATCTGCATATAGATTTGGTAAATGAAAATAGTCACAATACCATACAGGAGAAATTTCTGGAATGTATATGGATGGTTTTCTGGACCAATACGTTGAGGAGCCAACCATAGAACAGGTTATTCCGGCTGGGTATTGGTTAATGCGAAAGGAATAATTGACAATCCAGTTGTGCAAGGGCCTTGGAGATAAGTGACCATAATACAATAGACTTCATCACCAAGATAGGGAGTGACATGGTTGATTCCGAGACTGGGAACCTGAATCTAAATAGAGGAAACTATAATGGTATGAGGCCCAGACTGGCTATGGTAGATTGGGGAACTTGTATCTAGACATGATTTTGTGATCCTAGGGAAACCTGGTAGGTAAAAGTAGCTGAGAATTACGAGTCTCCCAGGTAAATGTCTTTCCTGCAGTGCTGTGGGCTAAGAAGAGCAAAATGCTTCCCTACTGCCCCAAGCCAACCACATCATGAGACCTTCATAGATGTCATTAGCTGCTCCCTCCCTCCACCAACTATCTGTTATGAGCCAGCCTTGTGCTTTTGGGTGGGAAACCTGAAGAAACAGTTTAAAAGCTGTCATCCAGGATGTGAGGACCATGCACTGGTGTCGGTGGGAGGAGAGGGTAACCTCAGTAACTCGCTGGTTGATGTCCAATGGTTTACTGAGTTTAACTAACATTGTGATTTGACATAATTCCTCAACAGGCAATGGGTGGAGAGCAGAGCAACGAAAACAAACCAGCTGCCAACCAGAGCCAGGGAACACAGGGTACAGAAATGGAGAGGACTACCTCAGAAACAGCTGCTGCCCTCAGTTCACCAGGCCAAACCGAACCTGGCAGCATTCCCCAGATACTCATCGGGGACAAGATGGTGGATGACATGCGTTTCATGATAACTTGCACGAACTGGTACTGAGCCTTGGGATGCAGCAGGAGTCAAGGCGAGGGTGAGTCAAGAAGTGAGAGTGCAACTTATAAATGTCAGCAGTGGATTAAGTTTGGACACCATTATATCACAGCATCAATGCCTTCCACCAATTTGTCCATAAAGAAGAGACTTCACAGATGACTCGGGGAGGACAAGCGGAGCCTCAGTGTCCTTTTCAACAACATCATTGCTTATAACTAATAACTGTCTGTTCTCTAATAGCATTATATCATTCATGAATAAATGAGGTGGCAGTTGGCAGCGTTGTTTAATTGTCATTTGAATGGAATGATCTGCTGTTTGCCTGTGAAAACAGATTCTCATCCATCGGGGATTTAGACCATGAGACCATAACATATAGAAACAGAATTAGGCCTTTTGGCCCATCAAGTCTACTCTGCCATTTCATCATGGTTGATATGTTTATCAACCCCATTCTCCTGCCTTCTCCCCATAACCCTTGATCCCCTTTAAATCAAACCAGAGATTGGAACACAGGAGGAAAAGGAGCAAGCTGTTCAGCTCCTTCAACATCTTCTGTCATTCAAATAAATCAAGGTGGATGTCTCATAACTCCATTTACTCATCTTGACTCTGTAATCCTTAATCACCTTTAATCGACAACAATCTTTCAATCTCAGTTTTGAAATGTATAATTGGTCTCAGCTGCATGTTGGGAAACAGAGATTCCACTTTGTGTGAGGTCTAGTGAATGGCCTGGCTCTGATTTTAAGGCTCTATGTTTTTGTTCTGGACTCTCCCCACATTCTCCATCTCCTCCACAATCCTGCTTCGTGTTCTCAGTGCTTCCAATCTTTGTGTCAGCTGCACATTGTGACTGAGCCCTGTGTATAATCAGGAAAAGCAGAAGTTGTAACAGCAACTCTTTGGGAACTCCGCTACATACCATCCTCCAGCCCAAAATTACATTTACTGTTACTCTGTTCTCTGTCACAGAGTCAATTTTGCACCAAGATCGTTACTGTGTCTTCTATTCCATAAGCTTTAAATTTGTTGTGCAGTATTTTGTCAAATGCCTTGTGGAGGTCTGTGTGCAATAGTAACCAACAGCATTACTCTGATCAACCTATTCACTACCTCTTCAAAACAAAACAACTCCCAAGTTACTTAAACACAGTTTGTCTCAACAAATCATGCTGCTTTCCTCAATTAACCTGCATTTGCCCAAGTTACTATTAATTTTGTCCCCAGTTATCATTTTGAGAAGTATACTAGTCCTGAGGTAAAACTAACTTTCCTGTGGATGCTGTACTCATAGAATCCCAACTGTAGAAACAGGCCCTTTGGCCCAACAAGTCCACACTGACCCTTAGAGCATCCCACCCAGACCCATCCCCCTACCCTTCTCCTGTAACCCTAAATTTCTCATGGGTAACACACCTAATATACAGATCCCTGAACACTATGGACAATTTAGCACGGCCAATCCACCTATCGCACATCTTTGGATTGTGGGAAGAAACTGGAGCACCCGGCAGAAAACTAACACAGACACGGGGAGAATGTGCAAACTCCACACAGACAGTCACTGTAGGCTGGAATCGAACCCAGGTCCCTGGTGCTATGTGGTAGCAGTGCTAAGCACTGAGCCACTGTGTCACCCCTCTCATCTTTACATTCTTTTTGATCCTCTGGATTTTGAGTGAGTTCTCAATGTAGCCACCTGTGGTTATCGTTAGCTAAAAATCAATTTTTTTAAACTCATTCATGTGATGTGGGTATCACTGGCTGGGCCCAGCATTTTTATTGCCCATCCCTGTGGGACTGGAGAAAGGATGGCAGTTTCCTTCCCTAAAGGACATTAGTGAATTTGATGGGTTTTTCAACAGTGGTTTCATGGTGATCATTAGACTCTTAATTCCATACTTTTATTGAATTCAAATTCTACCACCTGTCATGGCAGGATTCGAACCCATGTCCCCAGAACATTAAAAACCAAAAGAACTGCGGATGCTGTAAATCAGGAACAAAAACAAAGTTACTGGAAAAGCTCAGCAGGTCTGGCAGCATCTGTGAAGGAGAAAACAGAGTTAATGTTTCGGGTCCGGTGACCCTTCCTCAGAACGGTTCTGGGGAAGGGTCACTGGACCTGAAATGTCAGACCTGCTGAGCTTTCCCAGCAACTTCTGTTTTTGTACCCAGAACATTACCTGGGACTTTGGATTAACAGTCTAGTGATAATACCACTTGGCCAATACATTCCAATTGTACACTAACTGCTGACTTAAAGTCACCCTGCTGAATGTTATTCATGAAGTCATGGCAGTATATTCATTGAACGCTGCTAGTGTCACTTTGTGACAGAATCTTATTCTGTGGGCTGTACTCTCTCACAAACTCTCCCCTGCCATTTCTGTTCTGGCCCCCAGTCTCTCTTCCTCCCTGCTACCCTCTGGCTCCCTACATCCCCTCCCTCCAGCCTTGCCCCTCAGTTTCCTGTCCTGGGCATTCCCCCCAGGCTTTCCATCTCTCTTGGAACTTGCTGTCCAGTGTTACTTCACCAGGCCTTGCCTCCAGCCCTCTGCCTTACCTTAGATCCTGGGGCTCCTCTTCTGACTGCTGGCTTCATTCCTAAGCTCACACTGACGTGCTGGGCTTCAGTTCGTGGTAGGAGCTGGTCAGTGCTGGTCATCCTAGCATTTTAGCTGATACCTGCACTGAACAGCTAGTGTCACTAGATGGAAACCAAAAGAACTGTGGATTCCGTAAATCAGGAACAAAAACGGAAGTTGCTGGAAAAGCTCAACAGGTCTGGCAGCATCTGTAGAGAAAGAATCAGAGTTAACATTTTGGGTCTGGTGACCCTTTTTGTTTTTGTCACTAGATGGAGCCTAGTTTGTCTAAACATACCGTACTATGTAGTGTGTATTTTTAATGCTTATGTATTCATAAATGCCTGGTAGTTCAGAACTTAAACATTGCTAAAAGGAGGCATGAAGTTGAAGCTTTTTGTCTTGTGCTTAACAGAATGAGGACACAGAAACAGACGTGTAAAAATGAACATTTTATCCAGCATGAGAAGAAGGTGCTGATTGGTTGAGCCATCATTGGCATGGAGATTTAGCAAGAGCAGTTAACTGTCAATCATTAATCTCAGTCTGTGCATTTAAATTCTGATTGGTCACGGTGTTGCAATGGGGATACAGTAGAAATTGATTGTCCCCATGACCTTTATTTATGAAAAAGGTACAATTATTTACAAATTCCTTTTGCCTAACTAAATCAGTGTCCTGTGTTTTCATATATTTAGCTTCTGACAGGCTCAAATACATCCCACTGATTTACTGATGGTCTTAAATTGGTTCCAGTGTAACTCTAAGCAGAGTCCAGATTGTTTAATAAACTGCTCCCAATAGCAGTATCACATCTCGCGGTGGACATACATTTCAGAGGTTTGCAGGTAGTGTCTGGTTGAGCATGACTGGTTTCCTGCTGACTGTGAATGGTCCACAGGATCTGTTGTTTGATAATGGTCAGCCAGCTGTTGGGACCTATGGCCTACACAGCTGCTATCATACCATCACCGAGATTCAAATCACACCACTCATTGTGTGGTGGGAAAACATCTTTTTCCATTTGACACCAGTATCCTGCTACTCGAGAAGACCACTGGTGGTTTACTGTGCAATCACAGCAAACACAGCTCGCTTGGACCGTTGTTCCAACTCTTGAGGCATCTTCCCCTTCCAGGGTAATCTGAGCTAGACTGGGCAGAGCTCAACGTCAAAGGTAGTGGACATAGGCTCTTGAGTTTTCACCATTTACAGTGACTGATGATTTGATCATGTAGGACAGTCCTGATATGCCCAATCTCCACATCAAATGTACACAGTGAGCGGATAGCCACAGTCCTGTTCACAAGGTCGCTAATAAGATTGATCTTGTAGCACGTGGGAGTGTAGGAAAACAAATGTTTCTTGATGGGGAAATAGTGGTTTCAGGCACAGCACATTTTTAAAAATTCGTTCATAGGATGTGGGCATTGCTATCTAGACCAGCATTTATTGGCCATCCCTAATTGCCCAGAGGGTAGTTAAGAGTCAACCACATTGCTATGGGTCTGGAGTCACGTGTAGACCAGACCAGGTGAAGATGGCAGATTTCCTTCCCTAAAGGGCATTAGTGAACTTGGTGGATTTTTCCTGCCAATTCACCATGGATTCATGGTCATCATTAGGCTCTTAATACAAATGTATTTATTTTTATTGCCATGGTCGGATTTGAACCCAGGTCCTCAGGACATTACCTGTTCAGTCCAGAGATAATATCACTAGACTGTCACCTCCTCATTAAATACAAAGGAGAACTTCAAAAGCATGGAGTGTGTTTGCGGGGGTGGGGGGGTCTTAGAAAGGAAATTAGGAGGGAAAAGACGGACCACAAAATATCTTTGGCATTTGGGATAAAGGGAAACCCCAAGGCTTTTTGTAAGTACATTAAGAGAATTACCAGGGAAAGAGTGGGATCTATTAGACCAAAGGGGCAATCTGTGCGTGGAGCCAGAGGACATGAATGAGAACTTAAATGAATACTTCTGATCTACATTCACAAAGGAGAAAGACATTATAGCCAGGGATTTCAGTTCAGATGGTGAGGTTCTAGAACACATTAACATTAATAAGGAGGAGGTATTAGATATTTTGGCAGGCATTTAGATGCATAAATCCCCAGGGCCTGATGCGGCATATCTCAGGCTGCTATGGAAGGCAAGGGAGGAAAATGCTGGTGCCCTGGTAGAGATATTTAATACCTCACTGGCCAAAGGTGAAGAGCAGATAACTGGACAATAGCTAATATGGTTCCTTTGTTCAAGAAGGGCAGCAGGGATAAGCCAGGTAATTACAGACCAGCTAGTCTGATGTCAGTGGTAGGGACATTATTAGGAAAAATTCTGAAGGACAGGATTAATTAACCTTTGGAAAAGCAGGCATTGATTTGTTGAGGGAGATTCTATCTGACTAATTGAGTTTTTTGAAAAGATGACTAAATATATTGATGAGGGTAGTGCAGTGGATGTGGTTTACATGGGCTTCAGCAAGGCCTTTGACAAGGTCCCACATGGTCCAAAAGGTAATAGCCCATGGGATCCAAAGCAAGTTGGCAAACTGGATCTAAAATTGCTTTACAAATAGGAAGCAAAGAGTGATGATAGAGAGTTGTTTTTGTAATTGGAAGCCTGTGACCAGCAATGTACCATAGGGAGCGGTGCTGGGCCCTTTGTTGTTTGTCATATGTATTGA